CGTCATTAAACAGCCCTACAGACACAAAAACGTGAAAATATAAACAACCAGACTATCAGCAGTGATTTAACTTCTTTAAGACGTCTGTGAAAATCATTTACAGTATATATCACAACATTTAAGGCCTTTATAATCACAGAGCACACAGAAAAAAGTACTAAATTGAATCAATTTCAGCTTTTGTTTTTCCATGATGCATATTGTATTAATAATTACATTTCATCAGGGGCGATTTTAGCCCATTTTTGGGGGGTGCTTCAGCAAAATGAATCAAAGCACCCCAAAGATTTCTTACTTTTTGGACAATATTTACTGTATGTGTGACACACTGCTAAAAATATAAAAAGCAAAGTGGTTTGGTTATTTGCCTTTTGGTTGAAAGTACACTGAGAGAGGACTTTTTTTTATTAGTGATCTTAATAATATATTTTTTTCATATTAATGTAATTTTTTTCATCTAATTGCGGAATTTTCTAACATTTTGGTGAGTTGAGCCCATGTGTTTGAAAATTCCGCACGAGCTATCCGTGGCCTGTATCATCTACTTCCATGTGCGAAAAGACCTAGCTCATGTGAAATGATGGTCTGGTGTTTTGGAAGACGGGGCTAATCCACTTTCAACCAATGAAAAAAAAGCATTTACCCCTTGTGATTCGGCAACAGAAAAATAAAGTTTGCTGGAAGATCACACTTCCAAAATAAATGTTGCTTTTCAAAATAAAAGAATGAAAATACATTTATACAAATAAAAAGAAACCAAGAAAGAATAACAACAAAAGCGGTTTTCTCTGCTGGGTTACAACTGCAAATATATAAAATTTATTATTATTATTATTTATGAAAAGAACTGACGTTAGTTAAAAGCTTTATGCAGAAAAAATGGCAAAAAAAAACCCTACAAAAAATAAAAATAATAGAAATTACAGTCTTAATCTGTTGACACTTTTGGCCACTAACAAGCTGAAAGGGTAGTGATTTTGAACAAACACAGAAACACAGATCTTAATCTTCAAATTATCTGTGGTTGCTCTTTTTATTATGGATGTAATACCCTCTCTGACCACAAAGGAGCGCTGT